GCACATATACACACATACACACACACGCACATATACACACATACACACACACACAGTCACGCACAGACAGACACATACGCACACATACACACACATACACACACATACACACACATACACACACACACCCTGTCACACACACACACACACACACACACATATATATATATATATGATACCGACAATGACACAGATACAGTTCAGTCACAGACACAAACGTTATTCCACGACTATGTAGGCGTGTGAATGCATTTTGTGCCAGTCGCAGCATTTAGCTATACACAGTACCTCTGAGGACAATACGTTTTGCTCTAATAGCTTACTCATACGTTAATAATTTACTCATAAGTTGACTGTGTACGCGTGCAGGTTTTCGTCGATCTTGCGAAACAAGAATGGCCCGAAACATACCCCGAATTCCTTAACGACATAGTTGCCATGCCAACCAAGCAGCAGCAGTTCCATATCCTCAGCACCTTGTTGGAAGAGTGCTATTCCACACGTGAGGATATAAGCATTTACCGCCGGAGAGACTTGCAACGAACACTTGGGGCGTGCATAGGTGTGTACAAGTGTTGGCAATGTACTGTTGTCCCCGTACATGAACTATGAGATCTCATGGTGGTAATACTATGAGATCTCATGGTGGTAGTAGGTAATAGAGTGCTATTCCACATGCGAGAAAATAAGCATTTGCCACCGGCATGACTATCAACGAACACTCGCGCATAGATGTGTGCAACGGTAGGCAATGTACTAAAGTCTCGTACACACACTTTGAGATATATATTTGTCCTGGTGATAGAAATGTGCTATTCCACACGTGAGAAAATAAGCATTAAGCGCGTTGCAACGATCACGCAGGGCCCATATAGATGCGTACTACTTGGGCTGCGGGTATACACTCCCACACTGAGAGTTCAGCATTGTGTTGTAGTGTTGTGCACGCTGTAAATGTTTTTCATAGTCTGACTGAGTCATAGATGTGTAGGTATACGCATGGTATCACCGACAGGATCTACAACGGACGCTCGGGCGCCATACTAGCATGTTGTGGGGCTATATTCAAGGCATTATCATTCATGCATAAACTGCTATGGATACATATACACATATTTACATACCTATATATCAACATATATCCATACTAACCCTAAACCCTATTGTCTCTATGTAGAACCTAGTCTCATTGGCTAGCACTACATGCTTGCCGCTTGTGAACCCGGTATTCTTACTATGCACTCTCATGCCCCAGGGCGTCAGTTACAGTATAGCATGGCCTGTTCATCGTAACTTCACCAGGTCACTGGGAGTAGCCTACATAGCAACGCATCCATCTCAACTAGAACCTAACCTGCAACTGGTATTCCCAATGGGACCCAAGAATACTCGGATCTCTTCACATATTGTCATTGGCTGCTATAAATAGACCAATATCCTCCCCTCGTTTGGAGAACCCACCAAACCACAAAGCCTCATTGGCTGCTATAAATAAACTCATACCCTGCCCTCATTCTTATACCCAATCCACCCACAGAAACCGTGCTATCACCCGTCTTGACTTTTCTAGATAGTATATGCCGCAACCAGGACTTGCCCCAGTTCACCTCTCAGGCCGAGGTCGGCTTCACCACCGCCAAGAGCGTGCAATGTATCAGTGACAGCTACGAACATAACACCCCTGTGGTCGATAGTCCGGGGTTGAGCAACGCGTGTGTGGCGGCTATCTCCGGGTTGGTGATGCATGCGGATCGCTCGCAGATAGGTAGGTGTGTGATGTGAGGGGTGAACGGGTGATAGCTGGGTGTACTGTTGTTGTTGGGGGGGTGTGGAGGGGGGTCTCGCTTGGGTTAGTGCTTTTGTCATCCGTAGTGCATGGCTGTGCTTATCTCCCGCGAGACTTGCTATATACGACATGCTGTGTCATCATATATATCGGGTGCCCCATCGACCTACCTTTCGATGTGCATGAGCTGGGTTGTCCCTGTACGCACATATTTAGTGATATAATATATGTATATATAATATATATATATATATATAGTCTCCGCTAGAGCGTGTATGCATGATGGGCGTCAGTGACAGGTACGGATACAGTGCCTCTGTGGTAGGTAGTGCGGGGTA